ATAACTGCTTTTTTTACATCACTCTTTGTGCCTTAGATATAATCTGTGGTACGTCTCATGGATTTGTTTCTAGAGCTATGGTGTAAACAGGCAATGGCCCAAATAGAAAATAACATTTCACTGGGAAGGCAAATGAAGGGGTTAGAAAGGATTTTGGCTTCTTTGGGCTGATCCTTCCGCTAAATTAGGCTCCTGAGCAGCAGTACCCACTGCCAGGGCTTCGGGCAGAGCCAACCTGCCAGGAAGGGCAGAGGGAAGAAGGAGCAGGAACAGGGAGTAGGAGGAACAAAAGGTGCAAGAGTGAAAGGGGACAGTAACAATTCTAAAAATATATAAGATTTATCTCTTCTTTGAAGTGTTTGCCACTGGAAAATAAACACAAGGCATGTGCATGAATTGAATGGTTGCTTCTTACCCATATTTTGCAGAGACAGCTATGGGCAAGAATATTGATGCTCAGACTAATGATGATTCTGAGTATGTTCGTGCAGTTTATAGGTAAATGGAGCCCTTCTAATTATGTTTTAAATTGTTATTTATTCAAGCTTTAAAAATATTGCTAATAATTTTTTGTCTGTGCCTTATCTTTTTGAATGTTTAACAATGAAATATGCACTAAAAATCAACCTAATCATTTTAGCATGTATTTTAACAGTAGAGGATTTATTGTATAAATTAAGACACACCTAGGCTCTGGTATAATTTTACATGATTATTTTGTGATAGCTGGGAAATTACATTATGATGCTTAGTGATAAAGATAAAAAAGATAAAAACAATACTTTTAGCATGATAACCACTAGGTATAAAAAATTATTCATTAAAAAATAACTTGTAGATATTATTCCAGAATGTTAGCTGTGATTATTGTTTTGTGTTATGTGCTTTGCTTTCTTGTTTGTGTTGTTATTAATTCCCTCTTCCCATATTTCCTGCATCGAGTGTGTATTATTTTTTAATTGAAATTGTCATATTTATTTGAAAAATTGCTTGAGATTACTCAACTATGAAAAGGCAGGGCTTGGGTTTGATTTGAGGAATTCTGTCTTTAAGTCCACTGCTCATTTCATTTTAATACATATTAGCATATATTATCTGCTATTTTTACACAAGATTGTGAGTTGTTTTATAGTGGTTCACAGAACAGAAAGCAGGGAGACAAGCATCAAAATAAATAAGTATAAACTTATAAACTGTAATAATTGCTTAGAAAGAAAAAGTAAAGTTGATATTCGAGAAGAAAACAGCAATAGGTCCCACAGATTGAGTGACCCGGAAAGGCTACTCTGCAGAACTGGCCTGTAAGCTGTTCTCTAGGGAGGAGATCATGTCAAGGTCTTTGTGCTCTATCACTGAAAATGTTGAGGGAAGGACCCAGGACAGGGATTTGACCAAGAGGCACTTTACTGGAGAAGAGGATAGCCAGAGGAATAATAAGCAAATGTGTGCACATTAAACAGGCAGATTTCATACCACACTGTGGTATGAGAGATACAGGCAGCTTGGAGAGGTCTGGAACTCTTCCTGGAGAAATAGAAAGAGAGATCAGATGGCCATCTAATAATGTGTTTTATAATGGACTAGAGGCTCGGTGCACAAAAATTTGTGCACTGGAGGGGGCATCCCTAAGCCCAGCTTGCCCCCTATCACATACTGGAAACCCTCAGGGGATGTCCTACTCCCTGCTCCCCTTGGGGAGCGGGCCTAAGCCACTGTCTGGCCTCCCTTTGTGGGAGGTGACCGGGCTGATCAGGGGAAGGCACCAGCCCCATCACCCCCTGTAGCAGCCATTGCCAGTCACTGCAATCACCAAGGTGTTTTCATCAACACGGACTCCAGTCCCTTTACCAGGAAAAAATGACAACTTTCTTTTCGCATTTTCAAGATGTTTCTTTCATAGGATATGACATTTCTTTCTTTTTTTTTTATCCTCACCTGAGGATATGTTTCCATTGATTTTTAGAGAGTGTGGAAGAGAGAGGGAAAGACAGAGAAAAACATCGATGTGTGAGAAACATATTGACTGGTTGCCTCCCGGATGTGTCCTGACCATGGCCCGGGCTGGGAAGGAGCCTGTAACAGAGGTATGTACCCTCGACCAAAATTGAACGCAGGACTCTTCAGTTAGCAGGCTCAATGCTCTACCATCTGAGCCAGACTGGCGAGGGCACATACCTCCAGCAGTGGACCTTCCTTTTGTTCTCCAGGAGTGTGGTAAAAAACCCTAGATCACCTATTTGGACTCTTATTACCCAAATTACTAAGAATATTACCAGTGGCAAACAGGGAGCTAAGCCAATGAACAGTCAGAAAAGGTGTTTCCTCTGTAGTTCACACCAATTGCTGGCTTGGCCCCTGCCCAGCCTAATGCCTGTGGCTGAGTCATTAGCCCTCGGCAGGGGACGTCCAGCTCCCTCAATCATCGGCTCAGCCCCTCCCCAGGCCTAATGCTTCTTGACCAGAGGCATTAGGCCTGGGCAGGGGACCAACAGCAGCCCGTGATTGCTGGCTCTACCCCTACCCAGGCCTAATGCCTCTGACCAAGGCATTAGGCCTGGGCAGAGGACCCCCAGCTCCCACCATTGCCAGCTCTGCCCCTGCTACCCGTGATCACTAGCACCGCCCTTGCCCAGACCTAATGCCTCTGGCCAAGGTGTTAGGCCTGGGCAGGGGACTCCCAGCTCTCCGCACCTGCCCAGGCATCCCCTGCCCAGGCCTAATGCCTCTGGCCATGACATTAGGCCTGGGCAGGGGACTCCCAACTCCCCACGATCTCCCGCTCTGCCCCTGCCCAGGCCTAACGACTGGCAGGGGACCTCAAGCTCCCTGCCATCAACGCAATCGCTGGCTCTGCCCCTGCCCTCGGTTCAGAGGTGTTAGGCCTCAGCAGGGGATCCCCAGCTCCGTTGCTTGGCGCCTATGTATGCAAATTAACCGCCATCTTTCTTGGCAGTTAATTTGCATATCACCCTGATTGGCCAATGGGAAGTGTACTGAAGGTATGGTCAATTACCCTTTTTGTCTTTTATTAGATAGGATTCTTCATTCCTCTAAAGGAACCATTTAATTTTTCAGCTTCCTAGAATGTGTACTAACCCATGCCTTCATTGTTGAGCATAAAACATAGAGCTCTTGGTAGCTGTTAAGACGAATTACCATCGTTGCTACATGTTACCCTCACTGACACTAGGCACCAAATAGGTACTCAAGCAATGCACATTTTTGATATATCAGCTGATACATTTGCAACCTGTTTATAGGATGAGTGATTTGCTGCATCGAAGAATGAGGACGTTTTGGCTCTGGCATGATGTTTTGTACCTTTTGTTTAAAGATGGAAGGGACCACAAAAGGAAACTAAATATCTTACATAATTTTACCAACAATGTAAGTCCTCACTTTTTTTTTTATTGTGATCAAACATACCTAACATAAATTTATCATAATAGCAATTTTAAGTGTACCATTCAGTGGCATTAGGGGAATTAACAATGTTGTGCAACCTCTACCACTATCACTGTCTAGAAGTTTTATAAGTGCATGACTCCGTGTTTGTTCACATACCCAGTCATTAATGTTCCTTACTGGGGGAGGTTAATCTACTGGGGGAGGTTGTCTATAAATAAATAATTACAAAATGTAATATGTGCAATGGTAGTTTATTAACAAACTGGATGCTATGCTAAGATAATAAAGACACAGGGATCTGTGTTATAAGTATCTTCTGAAAAATGTTTGGATTAGGCAATGGTTTTCCAAGACAAAGGGCATTTATAGCAGTATCTTAAACTGGAAAATTTTCCCCAA